TGCCGCGTCGAGCTTGGACCGCAGCACCACGTTGCTGAAGCGCGACCCGCCGCTGCTCTGCCGCCCGTGGCGCTTCGACGAGCGCCGGCCGCTGCTGCTGCCGCCGCCGCCGCCACCGCCGTTGGGGCCGTGGTGGTGCGAGTGGTCGTAGGCCAGCGAGCCCACGTCGTGCTTGCCGTCGCAGCACGCCCGCACATTGTCGAGCCCCTCGAAGCCTTCGCCCTCGTCTTCCTCGAGCATCTCCTCGGCCGTCTGCAGGCGCGGGTCGCTGATCGGCTCGTTGAGGTCCGACAGGTGATCGTAGCTCTCGTCCGGGTCAATCTGGCTGCCCAGCGTGCCGCCCGCGCCGCCTCCGACAATGGACCGCGTCGCACCGCGTCGCAGGCTGCTCGTCGGGCTCATCGACATCTGCCGCTCGCGCTCCTGCTGCTGGAGGTACTCTCGCGCCGCCAGGTCGCGCCGCTTGCCCGCCGACGGGTAGAGGACGCTCGAGGCGCCGACGCTGCCCTGCCGGTGCCTCGGCAGGCCCTCGCCAGGGTGATGGCCGACGTTGTCCATCGACTTGCGCGAGAGGAAGTTCCGCTGGTTGGTCAGCAGCGAAGGACGCTGCGAGCCCGTGCCGCGCGATCGGCGACCCATGCTGCGGGAGGCGAAGGCGGCATTGTTTTCGATGTCGGCGCCGGCGTCGGTCACCGCGCCCGCGCCCACCTCGGTGGCGACGGTGGCGGCATCGTGGATGGCGGGCCGGTTGACGAGGTAGTCGAGCGCGCCGAGCCACGCCTCGTGGCGCTCGCGGCTGGGCGCCGTGATCTTGACCTCGCGCGACGCCGTCATGATGACCAGGCTCTCGTGGTACAGGCCCGGCGGGCTCGGGTTGCTGTCCTCGACGACGCGGACGCCCGTGATGCTGGCGCTCTTGCTGGTGCCCTCCGACACCTTGGCGCCGCCAGGGTCGCTGATGGTCCAGTAGAGCATCTTGGTGTACGGGTGCACCCAGAAGTAGCGACGGTGGCGCTTGTCCGAGTGGCCGCCGCGGCCCATCGACTTGCGCGTGTACTTGTGCATATACTCGCCAATCATGGTCTGGGTGATGGCGTGGATCACCATGGGGTCGGTGCCCTCGCCGCCGCCAAACTCGGACATGCCGCGGGTGCGCCCGCCGGGCCGCGCGATGAACGTCTCGTCGCCGGCGTCGTCGGACGCCTGCGACGACGCAAGCGAGAAGCGCCGGCTGAGCTCCGACGTGACGTCCGAGACAAACGACGCCGCAGACGACTGGCGCGGACCCCTCCGCAGGCTGTTGCCCGCCGCCGAGCGCCGGCTGTTGAGGCTCTTGCGCGCCGACTGGAGGCCACTATAGATGCTGCCGTCGAGCTGGCTCGG